ACAGCTGAGTTCTGCTGCCCTCTGAAAACAGTCTGATGAAGGGCAAAATGTGTATGCTTTCAGTTGGAGTAGTGCATTTTAATGTGGTGTGTTTGGTGAGGCAAAATAAATAGATATGCTTGCTGTTTTTCTGCCTGGTTTCTCCCAACCTTACTTGATTTGTTTCCTACTGGACGTAACTGTTAATGATGTTGTTGCCCTATGTCTTTCAAGTATATGCATACTGCAGGGTAAGTTAAGTAAGTTAAAAGCCATGTGTTTCGTTTTTGTAATAGAAGAAGTGAGCTTTGGCCTTCCTACTGGTTTTACTGCTTTCCATAGTATGAAATGATGGGAAGTGTTTGTCTTCCAGCTATTCAGTCTGCTCTGTATCCTCAAACTATCCGACAGCTTGAGCAGAGGATCCAAACCCCTCTCAGGAGTGACTTGCTGTACAAGCACTGACTGTCCTACATGGCTGATCTCAGATGCAGAAGGGCTAATTGGCTGGAGATGGCATCCTTCAGCTGCTTCCACAAGGCTTGCTCATAGTTGGTCTTTCAAACATAATTATGGTGGCAATAATTTCATTACTCTGCATGGGTGTTTTTTCAATAGAAGTAACACTGATTTGTGAAGGGAGGAAAAAAGCTCAGCTCATTCAAGTTCTCTACCCACTAACCTTTCACTCAATAGTTTTCTACTAGTGAAAGCAGCCTAATCCTGAAACAGTCTGTTTTTACTAGTTCAGACACACACGTTTGCATTGCCTGGTTTCCTTTGGGTTGTTCTACTTTATGTCAACAGCTGAAAAAACTGTTTTATTTCCATACGATTGGGTTGTTTTGTAGGAGGAAACAAGATGACTTCCAGCAGCAAAAAGCAGCTCAAGCCTTGTGCCTCAGGGCTGACTGACTTGTCTGTGTGAAGTTCTACCGAGGTGGTAGATATGCTGGTATGAGTGATGAGCCTGCTGTGCTGACACTGAAGTTCTGTTAGGTGCAGTGCAGCTGGCTGTGGTTGAGAGTTACAGCCAAGACTTGCAGTCCTGGGGCCATTTCGAGTAGTGCTGATATTTTTTACAACCTGTCCTATGAGTTCTGTTTTAGTTTCAATACCAACTTTAGCACGTAGCCTGCTGGGAGCATCGTTACCTGTAGTGATAGCTGCTGACTTTGTCTTAAGAAAGATAAGATCTTGAAAATCTTAGAGCAAATCCTATTACATCTTTTTGTAAGAAAAAGATTTAGTAATCAAACTGGTAGATCTTGAAATATAACCATCAGAGCATAGTAAATTTCACAGCTTCTCTTGTCCCACCGACTGCTTTCAACAGGAGCTCTTCGCAGTGACTCCCCCAGGCCCGTCCCCATTCACCTGTGCTATCTGCCTGCTGCAAGCAGTGCACTTTGAAGCCAGTTGTAGATGGCTGATTTCCTAACCTTGCATCACTCCTCTATGTGTGGAAGTGCATCTCATGGTTATTCAGATGCTTTCAGCAGGAACAGGTCAGTAAACTTTCATCCCAGGGCTCTGAAGGACTGAGGCTGTTAGTAGGTATCCTGATGTGTTCTAGCACAGGGTCAGTCACCACTGCAGTTCTCAGGCATTCCTTCTGGATTGGATTTGTGGGATGCAGTTTTGTAGGTGATGGTTGTCTTAAATTTTTACGAAAAGGAATTTCTGTGGCTGAAGAGGAATTTGATTTCCAGCTGAGACTGGAATGTTCTAACCTGGTAGAGTCCCTCCTTGCGTATGCCACTTATCCCACTACAAGATTGCAAGGAATCAAGTGTATTTGAAGTAGCAGAGGGTCATCTTTTAGTGGGTACATGCATTTTACATTTATATATTCTGCAGTTTTTTCTGCTTGTTTTGTGATATGTTTGCTATAGTGATATTAAAGCAAGCTAAACATGGGCATTTAAAGCAGTGTAACCATATTCATTGACTTTGCTTTCTGAAATGGTTTGATCCTGTAGTGACTCTCAAGCCTGGTGCACATTAGTAATAGCAATATCCTGTTGATGTTCTGGGCCAGCTGGAGAAATGTCCTTCCAAAGCTCCATGTGTGCAGCTTGCAGCTTTTCTGCTCTTCAGGGGCTGTGCAGGAGCCCTGTGCAAAACTTAGATGGACACAAGGAATGGAGATCAGGTTGTGGCTGCACATGCAGTGTTGTGGTATGCATTCAGTGTCACAGTGTCACTGTTGTTAGGTCTTAGATCACAGTCCTCATGTTACTGTAGCTGTTCGGGTTTCTCAGTTGAAAGCATTTTAGGGTTTCCTGTTCCATAGCTTTTCCCATAGCTGAATGACTCTGTGACTTTGCCTGCTCCTTGCAGACTGATTTTAACTTACTTCAGCTTCCCTTGTTTCTGTCCCCTTTGCAGCAAAGTGTGTCCAAGGGCTTTAAGGACCTCCAGCACTCTTACAGAAACGCTGCTTACCTGTAAGTTCACGCTCTCTTGTGTAAAGCTCTGCAGCACCCCAGGGTTGGTGTCATTGCTGGGAACATTGCTGGTTGCCACCTTGCTGCCCAGTAGGTTTCAGCCAGGTTAGTGTTCATCGTGGCAGGGATTTCCTTCCCACTATGAGATTGTTTTGTTATGTCACCGTGCTCCCAAAATTTGCCTCTTCCTTTTAAACAAACCAAAAAAAAATCACTGAGTACCTCTATGAACCCCTGCAAAACCTGTACTGTAACGAATCTGTACAATTTGTATTGCTGTACAAAACTCCAATAAAAGCATTCAAACCTTCTAGGTTTTGTGTTCAAATAGAAGAATTTATTTTGTCTCCGTGGATGAACTGAGCAGGATAAGAACGGGTGGAAGCTTTTAAAGCACCACAGGGTTATGCAGGGTTAATCTTTGCAAATGTTACTTGGGCAGGTTTTTGTCGAGCTCCTGGAGCTCAGAGCTGTGAGCTTCCTTTCCACTGGGTGGTAGCAGCATGTATCTGTGGCTGTCAAAGAGCTGCTTTCGGTTTCGGCGTGGTGAGATCGGATTTGCAGTGGGGCGTGCAGTTGGGGCACGGTGGGAGGTGGCACTTCCCCTTTAGCAGAGGAAATGCTCCTACAATTGCAGCTTGGAGGAAAGCTGTTTCTTGTCCTTCACAAAAATGTGCTCACACTGCTTTAGCAGGACAGAACATTTCCACCAAGTTGTGACTTTCATTAAAGCTGCCATGAAAACTTGGCTGAACTCGTGGTTAGAATGAGGGACGTGCCTACTCTGGTCCCAGAGCTTCCTCCTCGAGGTGGATTTCATTTCAGTGCTGATCCCTCACAACGTTGATAGCTCTTTGCTCACAAAATTGAGCTTTGGGAAAGAGCTTGTAGAACTTTGCTCAGAATTTGCAGCACGGGGCATGTTTCTGCAGAATGAGGTTTGGATCATGCATTGTTTTCTAATCATTCTTTCCCCATTCAGTGTTAGTCATTAGCTCAAGCAGATGCAGCTTGTCTGTGATCAGAGCCCACCTTCATCGGAGCTGCTGGCAGCTGCCCTGAGGGCAATAGAATGGTAAGCTGGGAGAGGCTAAAAACTGCATTCCTACAGCCTCTGTGGGGCCCAAGGTCTGTCTGTAGCTGATGAGCTACGTATGAAAAAGGAGAAGAAGGAAGAGGGTTTGGTTGAGTTGGTGAAGCGGACTGAAGGTAAGCGTTAGGTGTTTGCTCACAAGAGAAAGAGGGAAGCTGAAATGGTTAAGCTTTGGAAAAGGTCAGAGAAAGATGGAGCTGGAGTGTGGCATTTCATGTAATTCATTGCACTGGATGAAGGGAATGGAAGCCGGCTGCTGTGTTAGGTCAGGAAGGGCATAGAAATGGGCATGAGAGCAGCATTGCAAAAGGACTGATGTCTTTGGAGGGCATCTCCCTGCTCAGAGCTGCTGTATTGAGGTTGGGAAGACACTGCTGCTCTGAATGGTTGCTTTGCTGTCCTTTGTGCTGCTCTTTGAGCACGGGGCAGCTTCCATCTGCTCTACTGCAGCTGAGCAGTCGTTCCACAAAGCCTAACACAGGGCCTTTGCTGCAGCCCATGGTAATTTGGGGGTGTCCACACTGCAGCAGTCAGCTCTGAAGTTGTGAGACAGGTCAGGGGGCGGTAGGTGGGTAAACAGGACGTTTTTAGCATTGACTGTTCCTAATAAAACTTCTGATCTGCAAAGGAGGAACTGTAATCGCCTCCAGCATGTTCAGAGCAATGTTTCTGCTATAAGCAATGGGGTTTTTTTTATACTTATTGTCAGCTTATGTTCAAACAGAGAAAGAGCTGCTCGTAAGTTGCCTCATAGCAGAGGGCTCTGCTGGAAATGTCCGTTGTGTGGCAACTGCCCTGGCAGCAGAATTGCACTTCCCATTACATCACACCCCTTGCACAGCTGTAAGCCAAACAAACGATCCAGTGCTGAGCCTTGCTCTCCTGCTCTCTGCTCCAGTGCTGGTTTTGAGGCAGCTCTCCGTGCCTGGATTTCTTCTGGGAGCTGTTCTGGGTGGCACACGCAATTATTTTTGCACCTCTGTCGTGAATCAGAATGAAGTGCAAGCATCACTGCATAGGCTGGTGCAGCAGCCAGCTATCTTGACAAGGCAAGGTTTCCTCTGAAAGCCTGATAACAAAGTTTCCCGTCCCAGACGTGCAGATACAGATGATTTACAAAACAGATGATTATTTTATCATTCTCATGATAGAAGAGTTACCATCCGGGTAGGAGCGAGCTGGATGCAGCTCACGGGTTGCAGCATCATGCCAGCTAACCTCAATACATTTCCCTGTACTGAATCATTTGTGTGTGTGGAGGGTCTGGTGCAGCTGCACTGTTCTGTTAGCAGTTGTAGGACGTGTGCTGTGCTGGCTGTTACACTCTGGTGACTATAAATAACGGGGCTGCTGTGTGTCCTATTCTTAGAGCAGGATACTCATCTCCTGTGCTGAGACAGGGCTTGGAGCCAATAGAGTTATCTATGAACCTCATTCATAAGCCCTCCTTATTAGTTTCAAGTGCAAAAAAAAAAGAAAGGAAATAAAAGATCACAAGCTACTGCTTTGGGTTGGCTTTTGCTTCTTTAGGAGTGCGATGGAATAGTGCCAGCTGTGCCAGCTCTGCCATGTGCCAGAGACGTGGGTTTGTTCTTACTGCGTTGGATGGGAATGGCTCTTGGTTGGCTCTCGGCTTGGCTGCTCGCTGTGATTTCCATCCCCTTGCTGCCCTTTCTGAGGCTCTGCCTTCCTCCTGCCCCAGTGACATCCAGCACAACAGCAGCGATCCCAAAGCGCTTTGCTGAGAGGTTATTGCTGGCGTGGGACATTTTGGGGACATCAGCCCAACGTGGCCTTTGAGGGCTCCAGCACAATGCGTGGCCGTTGCCGCGCAATCTTTGCTATCGGAGCCTCTTCCTCTGCCTGCAGCCCATAAAAACGAACTGCTTCTGCTTCTGCGGGAGCTGAGCTCGTGCGAACCGGAGAGGGGCTGACCGGCGGATGTTGGGGTTAATGATTCAGATGGGGGCAGGAAACCAGCAGCTGGCTAACGATCCCCGGAGGAGCCATCTCCAGCGCCCACACGAGGAGATGGGACAGAAGAGGACGGCCGGCTGAGGCTGTGGGTAAGGTGGGCCGGGCTGAGCGCGGCGTGGGGTCCCGCGGAGGCACGGGGACGGGCAGGTTTTTCCCCCACGGTGGCTGTGAGCTCACAGATCCCGGACTGGATCTCGGTGGCTGCTTTGATGAGGGTTCGAGGTCATCCCTGCAAACTCTTTCTGAAGAGCTCCGTGCTGGATGCTGCTCTGCTGCTCACATCCATCGTCTGCTGAGCTTCAAGGTATGGAAATCACCAAATGCGCCTCCTCAGCAGCACTGAGACCCCTCTGGAAGCAAAGATGAGACTGCAGTCTGGCTTGTCTGTCCTACAGCATTATTTTCTGTACCTCCTGACCCCATCTGCACATGGCAGCATGGCTTTTTATTTTTTTTTTTATTATACTTTTCTGCATTTTCTTCTCAGAAATCGAGTGTATTTTGGGGTCCTTCTGTGCTGAGCTGCCCTCACCCCCGCTTTTGGCTCCTGCTTCTGGGACTGCTGTGCTTTCCATTCCAAAACCCAATCGTTGGCTGCTCCCATTGGGTTTTCCTTCTGGTTCGGGACTTAATGGCTTCTTAATGAACGTGTGAGCTTCTTACTTGGCTGTGTTTGGGGTCACCAATGTGAGTGAGAAAGAAGAGCCGTGTCTTTGCATTGTTTTTCTCCCGTGATCGATGTTCAGGGCAACACGGGCAGCAAAACCGGGGATAATTATGGGATAATCTTGTGCTGGCTCACGTTCATTGGGGTTCATTGGAGCTTTGGAGTAGATGAGGTTACTTGTGACACAGGAGCACCTACCTACATACAAGTTGCTTATATCCTCACTTCCTATTCTGGCATCCCCCCATGTGGAAGAGCAGTGCGTGGCTTCAGTGCTGCCCAAGACAAGGGAAGCTGGGAGCAATTACAGGATATTTCCATGGAATACATCCTCGTGCTGTGAGCAGGATTGTGTGCTCTGTTTTCCAGCTGAGATGTTTGTGCAACTGAATTGCCCCAAATGCTCATCTCTGGGGGAGTTCACGTATGGATTCCAGTTGTCCCTCTTGTCCTATGTTCTACTGAGCTGCGTCTTCTGGTGTAAAACAAAGCACGTTCTGCTTGAATAGCTGCACAAAAGCAGACTGTATCTCTACCACAGCAGCTTTCCTGAGATAATTTAAGCTGGTGTCAAATGTGGTAGGAGATGGGGCCTCTGCACAGAGCTTGTCTGAAGGCCCAGCGCTGTCACTGCTGTGCTCCCAACCACAGGATCTCCCTTTGGTCGGAGATTTCCATTTCAAAACGGCTTCTGTGGAAATCTGTGCAACGGAGGCAGGCAGAAAATTGTGTTTCTTTTCTTAGAAATGTTAGAGGCTGAGACAAGTGGAATATTGCATCTGTTCCATAAGCCCATGTGCTACATTTCGTACAGCAAGTTTTTAAAATAAGCTCTCCTCTTTTTTGGGTTTTACACCAGTGACTCACCCAATCAACCTGAATGAGCCTCAATTTGTTGCAAATTGCAGGCCACAAAATTAACTTTCAGGAAGGGAGGGAATACTTTTGCCTTCCAGGGCATCCTGGCAGATGGATGCTTGTGTGCCCTCTGCTTCAGCAGCCTAAAAATGTGGGAGCTCTGAGCCCACTGCTGACCCCAGGTCTCCCTCCATAGCTGGTGCAGGCAGCCCTGCTGGGTGAAACCCTTCATTTAGGGCTGGAGAGACCAAGGAAAGTGTGTTCAGCCTTCCAGATGTTTTATTTCTATCCCAGCAGCAGTGGGTAAATGCCTCCTGCTTGTCGTAAAGGGCTCCACTGCCCTCTCCCATCAGTTCCTTTCTGACACAGATGTGAGTTTCCTTACCTTGGCACCCACGTGCTGGGTACCTGCTCTGTATTACCTTCCCCAGGGCTCCAGACATCCTCATCTGGGTGACATTTTTACTATTTTTTTAGTTAAATTTGTAAGGAATGTGGAATTTTTGGGGAGGGAATTAAAGCTGCTTTACCCAAATGCTGAAGTGCTGGCTGCGAAACGTGGCACCGTTGGGCTCTTGAAATGACAGCAAACCTCATGAGGTTCACAAGGTGTTTTTGATACAGCAAAAATGAGATCTTGTATGTTATGAGAGGAGGTTTTGTAACAAAAAAAAAAAAAAAAAAAAAGATTTTAATTGCCTTGCATGCAAATAGTGTCCATCAGGCTGGTGTGGTGCTTATGATGGGGAACAGAAGCGTGATGCCCCATCAGACACAGATTACAGAGAGGGATTTGGGAAATACCCCTTTCTGCTGTTCGTGTCTGTAGAAATAAAGCCACATCTGGAAGGGAGATGCCCTGCAGTGGCACAAAGTAGGTCAGTGCTGTCCACATCTCTCAGCTTTGCACAGCTGAAAACAAACAACCCCAAAACCAAAACACCTCCAAAACTGCTTTTACTGGAGCAGCAGCAGCACAGCAACGCTTTGTGCCCCAGCCATCAGTACTGGTGTGGGGCCACAAACCTCCCACTGCTTGGGCTGGGGTCTGTGTGGTGCTGGGGTGCGTGGCTGTGGCTGGCAGCTTGGGCAGGGAAATGTTATTTATTGCTTTATACGAGTGAAGGGAGAAGGTGCGAAGCAGGGCAGAGTCCAGCTGCTGTTTCTATCCGAAATACAGATGCACATTTGGGTTGGTTTTTTTGTTTGTTTGGGTATTTATTTTTGCCATGCTGATTATTGAACAAAAAATATGGTCACTGCTGTTTGTGTACGGCATGGAAGGGAGAGCAGGGCTGGTTCTGGGTGGAAATGACAGCAGTTTTCACCACTGTGTTCCAGGCTGGATGTGGCCGGGCCATGGCACAGCCAGAGCTGCTGTGGGCAGCCGCTGCACTGATGCTGCTTGGGATGGCTGTGAGTGCCTGCATCAGGTGCCAGCTCTATGGTAAGGCTCTGCCATGGGACCCTGGCTTGCAACGGGTGGCTGCTTTGCTCCTGAGGTTTTCCCTCTGTGCAGGGTGTGCTGCTGGAGAAGAGGAGGCTCTGCGGAGGGCTGAGAGCGGCGGCCTTTTGGTGTCTAAAGGGCTGCAAGGAAGGAGGGGACGGAATCTTTAGTAGGGTTTGTTGTGATTTAACAAGGGGAAATTGTTTCAGGCTAAAAGGGGAGATTTAGACTGAGTATAATGAAGAAGTCGTTTCCGATAAGGGTGGTGAAGGACTGTGCAAGCTGCCCAGAGAGTTGGTGGTGCCCATCCCTGTACATCCCCAAGGTCAGGCTTGGAGGGCTGTGAGCACTGCTGGGGCTGTGGGGTCCCTGTGCACTGCAGGCAGTGGGACCAGATGGCCTTTGGGGGTACCTTCCAACTCAAACAATTCTATGGTGGTTGAGAAAGCCACAGGATGGGGCTGGTGGCCCCACGAGAAGTTTGAGGTTCTTCCCTTTCTTGTCTTGAATGTCTGTATCACGCTTTTGCATCAAGCTTTTTTTTTTTTTTTTTTCTTCTCTTTTCTTTCAGCTACAAAGCGAGGAAAGGACAGCAACCAGAGGAGTCAGTAAGTTCCTTTTGCTGTTGTGTTTTGCCCCAAAACCTGTCTGGGAGACAGAAGTCAGAGCTGGACCTGGTGCGTGCGCTGCACATCACTCAGCCAGGGCAGAGTAATGTCAAACAATAGCAAACGTCTGTGTACCATTATTAGGTATCTGTATTATAGGATATAACCATTAGTAGGGATTTATATTATCGGATATACAGAATGCATTTATAAACACATCTGCACCCCAGCTCTGCTGCTGGCAGCGCGCGAGGCGATGCATCCCGATAAAGGGGAACACAATCACAAGGAATAATCCCAAATGAAGCAGTGACCACGAGGCCCGTGAGTCAGTAACCTGCTGGAAAAAGGAATGGAAAAGCAGAGAGGGCACAACCCTGCCAATCCCATGTGCTCCATCAGCAAAGCGCTGCCCGGTGCCGGTGGGGCCGCGCGGCAGAGCCCTACAGCTGCTGCACGAGCAGTGAAGGAAACACCACCATACACACACATACACCCCCTTATTTCCTTCGCTAACAGACAAACCACAGCTTAAATGATATTATGAACAGCAACAACGAAGTGTTTTTAACCCTTCATCAAGGAGCAAGCGTGGTATGAAGGAGGTCAGGCTGCCCAGCACGGGGCTCACGGTGCCATGTGTGAGGCCTCACCATGGCAGAGCACTCGCTTTGTCCTGTGTGGATGTGATGTTTTGGTGCACAAAGTGTCAGGGCAGGGTTTGTCACCCTGAGCTCATCTGCCCATGGGCCGCAAGCACACCTTGACCACAGAGGCCAGGAGGAGAGGCTGTGAGGAAGAGCATCCCCAGGGTCCCTGTGGGTCCACCTGCAGCCCTCACCCTGGTTTCCATGTTATACACCCCAAATTCAGCTGATGTGGTGCTTCTGTTTCTTCCAGGCTGGAACGCCCGCAGCGGTTTGAGGTGATTCGGTCCTATTCTGGTGAGTAGGACCCTATGGGGAAGGATGGTCCCAAAGCCACCTAGAAGGCACTTTTGATGCCTCTGGGGTGCTCCCACCAAAATCCATGCTTTCTTTGAGAATGAGTCACTAAAGCAACACCATGGGAGAGTCGGTGTGGGCTCTGGAAGGCTTCTGCTCATGCTGTGGGAGCGGGGCTGTGGGTGAGCACAGTGACTCATCTGCCATCACCTCTCTCTGCTTCCTGCTTGCTGCACACTGACCTTTTGATTTCTGCTCTGGCCAGCGTGCTGTTGGGGTCTGCAGCAAATGTCACCATCCCCAGCCACCAAGGCTGCTCCCTGCCCTGCCCAAAACAGCCCCCAAAAGTCTTTGTTTCGAGCTGAGCCAAGCTTGCAACCCAGCGGTGCATCTTGCAATTGGTGCTGAGCATGCCAAAGGCTGCCAGACGGAGTGAATTTGGGGGAAAATAGGAAATAAGGCAGCAATTAGGTTTGTGGATCCCTCTGACGTACACACAGCGTGTTTCTCACTGCTCATTTCCCGTTTTGGCCCTGGTATGCGTTTGAGGAATAGTTTGGAAGATGTTTTGCAATGCTGGGGAGCCCACAGTGTTGGATGCTGTGCTCACTGCTGTCTCGTTTTGTTTTTGCTGTTAGCTGTGACCCGAAGGCCAGAACGGATCAAGGAACCCAAAAACTTGACAAGGTAGGTGGAAAGCACGAGGCACATCCTAGCTATAGAAGCACCCACTTCTCTGAACCTGAGAAATCCCCTCCTCCCCATCACCACACTCAAAAAACACCCCGCACTGATAACTGCTGCATGGCCATCCCCACCCCAAACTCATCCACTCCCATTGCTCAACGTGTTTCCCGTTGTCATCAGGCAGAGCTTTTCCTGCTGCTTGGTCAGAGTTGAGGTTTTAGCTCTCTTTTCCTTCAAGCCCCAGCCACAAAGAAAGCTCTTTCTTTCAGGAAAGCCCCCGAGGAACTCAGCACCTCCTGTCACGTTGGCTTTGGTGAGCATCAGCGGCTGCAGATCCGTGCGTAGTGATGGTGCAAAATCCATTTGCAAAACATGCGGGTGTTGCAACTCTTTCACTTTACGTAGCTGGGAGCTCCCACTGGTTGGGGGGAAAAACAGAAGCTCAGTGCCCACACCCTGAGCTGTGCTGTAAAAAAAAAAGTTGGGTGGTGCAAAGGTTGTTGCAGCCATGTCTGGGGCTTGTGGTGGTCTGCACAGCTGATGGGATCCTGAGGGTTACATGCAGGCTGCTTTGCTGCAGCTCACCAGTCTAACTTAGAGCAATAGGGGTGGACAACCTACAGCCCACCCCAACCATTCCCCATCTCTGTGCTGCTGGTGCTGGGTGTCCCCCAGCCCTCGTAGCCCTCTAACATGCCTGTGCTTTGTCCCAGAGAGCAGTTCTGAGCCCCGCTACCAGAACTTCCTGACAGGTATGTGTTGTGTGGCAGCTCTGGGTGGCTTGTGATGGCCAAGTGATGGGAGCTGGCCTTGCAAGCTCTGACTCACTGCATTTAAGCTATGCTGAGCAGCTAAGAAGAGGGGACAGAATGCTTGCAGCAGCCCCTGGTTCCCTTCTGGAGCTGGCACCAGCCCAGTGAGTTATTGCTGCACGGAGCTGCACTCTGCTTCTCAAAATAGGGGATAATTCCAATCTCCCTGCTGTTTTGCAGGGCCTGTCCTGGTCTGCTCGGGGCTCCCAGCCCTGCTTAGTGCTGCCTCGGTGGCTTTGGGGCTTGCTGCCTGCAGGGCTGATCACTGTGCCTATGCTCAGGAGAATTGGGGTGTTTGGGGGTTGTTGCTGCAGTGTGGTGTGTTAATGGGAATCTCTTTGTTTGCAGAGGACTGCCTACATGGGGATGCTGCCTACGTGTAAGTACTGTGGGTGCACTTTCCATCTCCTTTGTCACCGAGACAGCTCCTGTGTCACCCCACATAGGGCTGTGGCACTGCAGGCCCTTATCACCTCTGTGGGTGATGCTTTGTGGGGTCTGGAGGCCGTGCAGCTGCTGCCCCAGCCTACTGCTCTCCTTCAGGCTGGGTGCATTTGGGTGGCAGAGGCTGAGCGCAGCTTTCCTTCTATAGGGAGCCTATCCCACTGGATTACTACAGCCACAACAGGTTCTTCTCCCCACCCAATGGTAAGGTCTTCAGTGCTCTCCCTTCTCCAGCAGCCAGCACAGCATGCAAAGGGCAAACAGCTTCACTTGCAGGCAGCTGCCAAAAGCACAAAGCCCTGCAGATGCCGAGGCTCCCCTGGGTCACTCACATTTCCCTCGTTCCCCTTTTCTCTCTCTGCCAAAGATGAGGACTCACATTCCTACCAGAATGTTGTCATTAGAGATCCTTGCAGCTCTGAGCTGGGTAAGTGTGGTGCTGCTGTGTTTCGTACTGAGCCTTAATGAGGTTTAGCCTCAAAGGCCCAATTTTATCTCATTTACTGTTCAGCATCACCCGTCCAAACTCTTCTTACTTGTAGATGATGCAGAAGACTACGAGAACAGCACAGCAATAGAAGTCTGGAAGGTGCAGCAAGCAGAAGGTTTGTCCTCAGCAGCTGCTCATGGTGGGCAGGGTGCTGCTGTGCTGCACTGTGCTCAGGGCCATGCAGGCATCACCACATCTCGAGGTGTTTTTATCCCCAATAACTACAAGTATGCAGGGCAGCGTGCAAATCTCTGCCTTGGATGTTGCTGTGGTGGTGGCTGCTATCCCACCTGTGCACTCTCTAGAGCCCGGCTCACTGCTGGTGACGTATCTGTGAATTTGCTGTGACAGGGCACACTGTGTGTATGGTGGGAGTGTTTTAAGACCATCCCCATTGCTGATGGCTGCTTTCCATCCCTGTTAGCCACGCTGTACGCAGAGAGCAAGGATGAGGAGCCAGACTACGTCAACACAGACCCAAGGATAGGTGCCGTCCTGCCACCAAAGTGAAGGTAATGGGAGCAAATATTTGACACACTTGTTGAAGGCAAGGATTGTGTTTTTTTCTTGGGGAACTTGCAGTAGCACAGAACTACTTCAGATCAACTCCGAGCCACGCACTGCAGGCAGAGCCCCAAACCCTTCTGGTTTGCAGCACAGAGGCAGAACTCAGCAGGGGACCCCTGGAGCCCTGCTCCTGCTGCATGCTTTGCTCTGCTCTCAGCAGCAAGCTGCTGGCTGCTGATACCGAGCTCCTGCAGACAGCCAAAAGTTAAAGCACCTGCAGAGAGCTGCAGGAAAAACTTCACACTGTGCTCATACGTACATCTGTGGTGTGTCTACATGCTGGTCACCCTGCTTCAACCAGAGCCTGGCTGGGGGAGGGACTGGGACCAGTTCCACTCCCCTCATGGTTTTGCTCTCTGAGAGCCTGCAGGAGCCCTGTGCAGCTCCAGCCTTTGGGATTTACCAGCACAAACTGAGCAGGCTCCTGCTGCTCACCACCGACCAGGGGTGGGCAGGCTCCTTGATGGGATCTTTCTGAAGCCATACAGAACATTTCAGGTTTGCCCCCAGCATCCAAAGCACAGCCACCCCGCTCTCCTCATTGCAGTACTTGGTTCAAACTTGAGCAGTATCTGCAGGGAGGGAGGCCAGGTCACCCTTGAACTAAATGCAAAGGGCTGCAGCATTCACTTCTATGGGCAACCCTGCATTTATTTCTCTTCCACGAGAAATGTCAGGGATTACATTTGTGTGTTAATTACAGCATGTTCTGCCTGCTTTTTGCTTATCTCCCTGCTGTTTGCAGGAGTTACAAGACTCACTGCTTCCCCCCTCTGATTTCAAGTGTTCTGCATGAAGTCTGAAGAAGCCCTTTGCCGAGCTGCACAAGTCCACCCAGCCAGCACGTACACCAGGAAAGAGGCATTCTCCATCCCTCAGTCACATCTTTTCCCCAAATTGTGCCCAAGATCACACGGGACAGGTGTTGCTGAAAGGAAGAGATGCTCTGCTTGAAGCCCTGACATCCAACAGCAATCATGCAACCGGAGGAAGAGCTCTGCTCAGGAGCAAAGCCTGCCCAGCAGCAGCACCCATGGACACACTGTGAGCTCCTGGTCCTGTCTCCCCTCCAGGCCTGCCTGCTGGAGGGAGCACGGCTGCTCTGTGCAATGCTGTCTCCTGCCAAGCGTGAAATGATTCTTTAAATTGCCGAGCGGCAGTGCAGCCAACTACTTAATTTGTCAGGCTGACTCATGCACGGCGGTATTCAAAGGCAGGGATTAGGTTTTGATTTAGTTCCTACGCTCTCCTCCAGAAGCTGTTTCCTACAGGAGAGGAACTGGCAAGGCAGAGGTTGCTTTTACAGCAGCAGCACTTCTCTGGAGCTCAATGAGATACCAGACTGTTACAAAAGCTAAGGACTAAAGAGGATTAAGCCCTCATCTGCAGCTTGTAATTCACAGTGTCTGTGGCAGTTCTCCTCGTGTTTCCTCATCTGCTTTATAACTATACAAAGACACTGCAAGGACTGATGAGGTTTGATCCACAGCTCTCAGCCTCACAAACTGCAGCGCTGTTTGAGATTTGGAATATCAGTCCTGAAATGTAACCCTTGTCTCTTGGGCCCTCGTGCACTTATTTATTAAAATTGAAAAGCCCTCAAAGAAAATCCAGGTTTTTCTATCGTGGTTGGCTGCAATGTGCGTGTTGTTTCTGTGATCGAGTGACACAGGCTGACGTGGGAGCACGTGCAGAAGTGACCCAGGGTGACGTGTGGGATCCTGCTGGGAGAAAACATCGCTCCATGCAGCCTTATTTCTCAGAACTGTCTCAGAACTGCACTTCAAGAAGGGACACAGCCCACAGCACACATCTCCAGGGCTGGTCAGAACGAGCAGAGAAGTGGAGGTAAGGGTGAGAGCCCTGGAGTGGGAGAAGAGGATGTCAGGTGCTTCCTGCTGTATGTGCTCAGCTCTATTTTCAGCAGAATTGCTGAGAGTGTGGGGCCACTCTTTGCGTAGCTGCAGCAGCAGGTGGGTTGGTGTTTGGCTTGGGAAATGTACTTGTAGCTGCTACAAATGCATGCATTCCTGCTCCCACGGGACTCTAGGAATACAGAATGCAGTGCATGATGTGCCCATGCAGCTACAGCAGCCTGCCTTTCTGCCTGCCCCAACCCTTCCCTTCAGCTTTTGCTTACACTCTGGTTTCTGATGTTTAAATGCTGAAACTTTGCACAAGTAGGGGACACAGCCTCACAAACAGACGTGCTGGCTCTGCACAGGCTCATGGACAGCCAGGGAAATGAGGAGATGCCTTTGCTACTGAAACAGAGCACCTGGCCCATGAAATTGCTATTGCTGGTGACTTCTCTGAAGAAGCTCTCACGTTTCACCAATTGCTGCAGATCACAGATTTTTCAGGATCTGCTAGAGGAAAAGGGTGAGCTGCATTCTCAGTGATGTGCCATGATGCTGCTCCCACTTGTGGTTCATCTCGTTACCAGAGGGAGACATTAAATGCTTGGGAATGATTAGCAGCAGTTAAAAGATTCTTGGCGTGCAGTGGTAGATTCAAAGACCTCCTGGGATGTTCCATCCAATAGGTGAGTGTGCTGCCAAAAGATTAAAATGCAAGATTTACTGCTCTCTTTGCTAAGCAGGGAGGGGGATTAGAGCAATTACATTTTCCTGCAATGAGTTTCCTTCATTGCCAGAATCTGAAAGCTGCAGAGTGTAAGCAGGCAGAGCAATAGATTTGGTGTACATTCCCTCACCTTAGTGGGAGTCCGAGCAAATTGCCCTCCTTCCAATTTCCAGAGCAGCCAGCTGCAGAGAGCAGCAAATCCTTCCTTAGGGTTGTAAAGCTCCTGAAGTGCTTTTCAGCCAGTGATCTCATTGTGCTGGAAGATATCCAGGCACTGCTGAGGGAAACTTCATTGATGTTTTCAGTCTTGTTCTGAAACGTGAGCTTTCTCTCTGCAGTGGGTGAGCACATACACGTGTTCACTGATTAACTGTCCTTTCAGAACTCATTTTCAGGTATGTAAGGATTTCTGGTGCTAAACCCAAACTGTCAGATCGTTGTGTTGCCTGAGAGTAATTCAGAGGGCGCTGACATCTCCCTTGGGTACACGTAGCTCTTTTTCCTCACATCAGGGAGACAGCCAAGTGAGCAATTTGCTTCCTGTTTTCAATGTAGAAGACACATTAGAAATGTAGTTTTGGCCTTGCCAGTCTGGCTAATGGAGCTGGGAAGCTTTACCTAGCTACCAGAAAGCAGCAGCTCTGCACTCACAGGGAGCAATCAGGTTTGGCACAAGAGGCTGATGGCCTCTCAGATTGATGCTGTTCCTCTTCTCAGTAAAGGTGAGTATAACTAAATCCCCCCAGTGCTGTGGAGTATTAACTTGTAAGTGAATTGGCTCCAAAGTGGAGCTGAAAGGCACCCAGCAAATATGCTGAAAAGAAAGCTGCTCATCAGACAGAAAGAGCACCTGTGATCCTCTGAGTTTATCACTCCTGCACTGGCACCACCAGAGCAAACTGCTTAGACAAGGGAATATTAGCCTACTGTCTAAATAATGTGCTTTATTTAAGCTCTTATGGACGAAAGCTGTGATGCTGTGTCTGTAATACAACACTGTAAGTCACATATTTAACAGTGTTTGTGCTAGTAGTGACAAATCACTGTCAGCAAATCAAACTTACCACAATTTGATTAATATCTAGCGAGAGGACAATGTACCTATGAGTACTGTATCCATAAGAGCTGTTTCCCTTATTTCAATCAGGAGCAAAATCAAAAGTGTCTCTGCTTTAACTAATCATCTTGATTTCCTTTGTCTTAGAGCTCTGTCAGAGGAGCTGCAGAAAGTCTTGAGGGTGCAATTTAGAATGCTATGCCTTTGCTGCTAAAACTCATCACCCCTGTGGCTGAATCAGAGAAATGAAGGGTGTAACCAGCTGTGGCTTCAGTGCAAGGGCTGGCCTCTGGGCTGATACTGCAAGTAAAGATCAGTTTGGCACTGAAACAACGTGGTGTGGGCAACGGGATGCTGGGGTGAAGGGCAGGTACCAGTAAGTTGTACCTCTACCATGCTTTGTTCCACTGCTATAACCAGAATGTATTTAGTTACTTCAAGACAGCTCTGCTTAGAGATGCATATCTGATACCAGATGCAGAGGTGGTCACATTAAATTTATATTTGTTTTCACTCTGCATGTCACACTTTATTGCTCCTCTGAGCTCGCAAGGTGGTTTCCAAAACCAGGCAGAGAGGAAACCATGATGCTGTAGCTTTTTGGTACTCTGAAACTACTGTAAAATGACATTACTTAATCTGGACAATCGAGAAAAGAGAATGGAATGCAAATGCAGAGCACCCCTGAATTTATATATTTTTAAAATATTATAGATGTAATATCTGTAACAAGTAGCTATCAATGTCCTAAACAATTAGCTGGGACCATTAAGAAATATCTGCTGTTCTCCTGTACTTGTTTGGTGGAAATACCTTCCTTACCATCACACAAAAATAGCACCCAGAACGGCGCCTGCACAACATGCCTTAATTGTAACCTCATTAAGGTCTCTTTCTGTGCAAAAACTTTTCCTTCTTGGCTTCAGTGAGGCCACCTCTCATGATTAGTCAGGAGGTGTAATCATTAACAAAGGGATTAAAATTTTGTCTCTCCTGCTGTTAAGTCTTGGTATCGTTGCCATAGGCAGTTTTGTTGAGTGAAATAGATGTTATTGCTCCTCCTTCCTGAACTGCCAGTCCTCTCCTCTGCCCCAATCACACAACAGGTAAGAATACTTCAGTTAAAGTAGATTTTAAAGCTTTATTTGTCTAAATTTAAAAAAAAAAATGCAAGTTAATTTTACAATAGAACCTGGTTCTGGGATTTAGCAAAATCAGACTGACAGAATTCAGGACAAACACAGCTGCTGACCTCACACACCAGGCCTTCACCTTCCACAACACAGGTTTCAGCTCAGTCAGGTTTCTAACTTGCTGCAGGAGCTGCAGTCTTCTGACACAGCCTGGCAAGAAGTCCAGCCATTTGTAGCAGTGAGTTCACACCTTCTGCTATCTTCATATGTGTGTAGCCAATTTCCTGAGAAAAACAATGCCAAACCTTCTGTTTTGTCCTGCAGTTTTTATACGGTCTGACCAATGATGCCCCACTGTATCCCTTACTCCTAAGAAACTATCTTCAGAGTTGCTCAAACTTAAGAAAACCATTTTTGGCTATGGACTATTGCATTCTCATGTAGACTAATTAGAACAAGGTATTTTTTCTTAATTGAAGTCTGTATTTCCCCATTTTCTTTGTAAGTTGATCACTGAAGTGACATTTGGCACTTCCATGGGGTGTTAGACTTCGAACTTCAAGTGACTGCTCTTATTCACAAACTAATAATGCGGAGTAAAAAAGAAAGCAGTAATAACAAATACGATTTTTTTACACTAACAAACAGCAAACAGAAAACTCTGAGCTTGCCCTGTGATAAAAATCCCATCCTCTTTTTGTAACAGACAAAAAGACCCCATAAGTAACTAGTTTAATACTAACCTTGATAAATTCCAGCTTCAGATATTCTGGCATTTGAAAGGTTTTACACACACGGAAGATGTTGCCAATCACGTCTTCTGGAGAGTATCCAAGTCTCCACAGGTGGGCAAGAATCTGTGCAGGCAAGAACAATCCTACATTTATCTGCAAAACTTCTCATTTGAGTCAAGCATATTCATTTTTGAGGCAGGCATGTGCAACTGGTGAAACTACACGTGCTGTTTATCAAACAATTTAACATTGATTCTGTTTAGTGAGTAATTTCATTACTGCTTGGGTTGTTGTTTTGGGGTTTTTTTTTTGCTTGATGGGTTATTCATCTGAACAAAACTCCTGTAAGGAAGAGATTTTATTCAGCAATTCGTATGCATGGTTTTGCTCTTTTCAAAAAGAGCAAGTGGTGCACAATGAATTCTTCAAATCAAACAGACATTCTGCAGAGGAAAGGGGTGTCTGTACACAGAACACACCAAAACACACCAAAACCCACCTTGTATGCTTCATCAATATTTGCATTTATGCAGTGTTGTATCATTTCTTTCACAAGCAGAGGGTGAGGCTCATCACATACCTGTATCAAACAATTATTACACTTCAAAATACTAGAACATCCCATAATTGAACTCCCAAGTGTTCTCATCAAGCTTTTATACAGTTTAAATATTGAATCAGAATGTCTTACAATACAGATTAATTACATTTTAAGCTGTATGACACTTTTGATAACATAACTATCCTACTGTGGTAGACTCGATAGCACTGCATGAGAGACTCAAAAGTTATCACTGTGCAATTTCCCAGCAGTTATGTGATTCATGTGCTTTGAAAGAGCAGGAAAGGCAGAAAGTCTTAGACATGCTGTTAGGGACTGCAAGCACTTCCTGCCTTTCAAAAGCCAGGCTTTTTTGACTAATGCCATCACTGCTACATCTATCATAGTGTCTGCAAAGGGGTAAAGCACTATCAGAGTCATGTATATTTGAAGAAAGGTCTCACACAGTTACAGTATTAAGACTTTTACCTGGGCTGTTTCACAGTACTACTAACCTTAAAGACATTTTCACTGTTTATGAAACCAAATCCAGAATATGTGGACTGTAAGTTGTTTAAGGCCTGCAAAAAGGAAAACAAAGACTTCAGTTATTTTGTGAAGTGCTCTGCTTCTGACTGCACCCCTTAGGATGAAATACACTTCTTGGGAAATGGCAACCAAATATGCAGTTTTCAAGTAGGCAACAGATTAAATGCACGCAGGCTTTGTTTTCCCCAACAAATTCAGTATCTGATTTCCGCCAATTCCCTTTTCAGGAGCTTTAAAACCTTGCAAAACCAAGCAGTTTAGTTATTCTTGTGCTGTATGTCACCTCCCCTTCGCTTTATATCCCCAGAGATGAATCCTTGAGAGCCACAACTCAAAGTTGCTTGAACAGAAGGCTTTGTTTCCCTGTCTTCCTTCTTTTACCTGTCTCATATCTCCTTGAGCTGTGAAGATAATGGCTTCTAATCCATCATCAGTATATGGTACATCCTCTTTTTCAACAATTTTCAGTAGCCTTGCAAGGATCTGTGAATCTGTCAGTTTGGTGTAACGCAGCACTGCACACCGAGACTGAATAGGCTCTGAGGACAGAGATGCATAATTAGCATTTCCCTCTTTTCTTAATAACAAACATAAAAACATTTCATTTGGGAAGAAAATATGTTAATTTCCAAGCTCTTAACTACTCTTGATTTGTCACTTTAAGAACATGTAAAGCAGAGTGAAAATAACATCTGCTTAAGCACATGTAATTCATATAGTCCTTCATTTGAATCTAAGTGTGTTATATATATCAAGGACAACTTCTTTTGTTCTCCTGGTTTTCCTGGAATGTAGATGTTTATCATGCTACTTTAACTGCTAAAGAAGAACAGCCTGAAGCTCTACAATGTGTTCACCTACAGGCAAACTTCAAGATTGCGCTTCAGAAAGCAGGACAAGATGGGCTGAACAACACACCAAAAATCATAAGCTGTAGCAGAGCTGGATGCTGATTAAGCCTGAAGAAATCTGCTCTGCAGTCATGCATAGCACTTTTCATGAAAAAACAGCTGTTTGGAAGGTTTATCAGCTATGCAAACGTGCTCTTCATCAGCTGTTTTAGAAAACATTAGATGTTTTGGTGGTTTGATTTTCCTGAAGTACCATGGCTTCTTGCAATGAGCAGGCTCCAAGTGGTTCTGAGTACTACTTTGGAGGCTACCCAGCAGCATGGGGAGCATATGACCAGAACATCCAGGGACTAACAGAGCTTTACCTATGATTTTATCAGAGGCATTGCATGCAAGTGCGAAGCGCGTTGTTTTGGAATAGATTTCCATTGTTCTTCTCAATGCTTGCTGTGCTCCATCTGTCATGCTGAAGAAGAAAAGGAGTTAGGACAGATTTTACCCTTCACTGACTTAAAGCTGCAGCCTAGTGACTATTTTTATACAAGCTTTAGAGTTTACTGATATCGGACAGCGCTTTGTAAATTACCTGGTATTTTTGATTGGCAAGCCTCAGATTTTGGCAGACATGAACAAGTCACCAGTCATAACCTCAGCCAGTTATTGAGTCCTCCATAAATTAACATGTAAAATCAAATCATCAGTGCTCTTAAGAGTACTGCTAAGAATACTACCATTTGTATGCAGGAGGAGAGTGTCCTGTTTTTATCCAGTGAAATTAAGTGTCTATGTAAACTAGATTCTTTTCAAAGAAAAACAGCTAGTGAACTAGAAGATGGTAAGATTACATCAAACTAAATCCCAAAGTGCTTCACCCCAATATTGAGCATTTCCTTTGAATCCACGATCACAACTTAGTATGAGGAATCTTGTAAGAGTACTGCTTCATACACGTTTCCTCTCAAATCATTTTTGATAGCCTGCTCAGAACATCTCATACTGTCCAAGATAGCAGGATAGATAGAAAATATTTCACATAGTAGCTGGGGTCAAGAAAAAAAACAATGTACCTGTCTGCTTCATCGAGGATGATGATTTTGTGCCGACCTTTTGGAAGTGTGACCTTTTGCTGAGCAAACATTTTGATTTTGTTTCTCACTACATCAATGCCTCTGGAACAATAATTGAAGTCATTTATGTTCAGTCGGGTGAAATTCCATCATGGCTTTCATTCAGCAGCCACAGTGGCTGGAGTGCTCCTGTGCTCCCCATTCTTGCACTGTTCATTTCCATTCAAAAGTAAGCAGTCAGCTGTGCCAGGACAATTACTGTGAAGCTGTGCTAGCACAACATGAATCCCTTCCTAGACAGAGTCCCAGCAAAGACTTACTTTTAAAAATAAAAGATTTTATTTTTTTGTTCTGTTTAGAAAATGCATGTTATGCCATGATTTGTGGAAGAGCTATAGAACTAAACAGGCTGGTATAAACCACTGCATTCCTAACCCTCTATGAAATGTCCTCAGAACAGTGTCTGCTACAGAATTTGGGAAATATAATCAGCCTTTAGTGCCTGATTGCTGCAGAAAAGTCAGTGCCTTCTATATACCTGACATCCTTATCCTACAGTGTTATTCCCAATTGTCCTTACAGTCTTAAATTTCTATCGCTTCCCCTTTTTTTTCTTAAGCACTGAAGAGGTTCATTATAAATAACTCATTCACTTTTCATTAGGAGGATCTTCATGGATGCAGGAAACATAACCCTTTGAAGTAAATTTGAGAAGACAGTACTATTATCTATTCTGCACTCCATCTGCTTGTATTTTTTTACATGGCAGTTCCTGTCGAGTTTATAAAACATCAAGTGATAATATCTACATTGCCCAATTTTGAGTTGGAAAAACTACAGTAAAGTAGTAGGGGCCTTACTGTAACGTTATCAAGTTGGCCTGAGTTCAACTAAAAATAAAAATGAATATTTGTTTCTTCATTAAACTTGATAAGGCTTATTCCTTCTCACCTGTCATTTGAAGCATTCAGCTCCAAAACAGCATCCTTTAATGCAGGGCCAAGCAGAGCACGAGCCAAGCAGAGAATGCTGGTGGTTTTTCCCGTTCCAGGGGGACCCTGGAAATACAATTGCTGATGAGTGCAATGCCATTTCCTCACCTGTACTCTCTGCAATGCTCCCCACTGATGAAAAACAGCTGCAATCACAGCTAGAAGTGACCCGAGCTCAGGATCCTCCTTCCAGCAGCAGAGAAGCACAAGACATGCTTCAATAGGAACCCAAAGGCTGAGTTAGTTTTCAGTATTTCAGTAACAGAAGGTTGTTTCCTTGCTGTGTTTTTTGCTGAAGGTACTGCTCTGTAACCATAACATCTCTTTCAGTGGTACCACAGTGCAAATCTAACTGGTCGTGCCTGGATCTCTGCACTGGGACAGACACAGCAAAATGCCACAGCAATACTCACCGCAATGATAATATTTGGGACGTTCCCTTCTTTTGCAAAGACCTAAGAAAGAGCAACAACAACAAAACACCTACGTAAGAAAACAGTGGGAACAAAGTTTCCAATTCTATTCCATTTTAACCTTGAGAAAGAGCTGCCATTTCTCTTCTTCTCTCCTGCTTTCATTTTTTTTTTTTAGCCTTGCTGTTTTTTTACGGTTAAAAGCCAGTCCCCAAATTACTAAAAGTTACAACTTTTAAGCTGCATTTAAGCTGGAGCCAATTTGCACAGCACCCCAAGTACAGAAGGCGCATTTATTTTTGAGCACTGATCACACTTGTCCTAAAACTTGTAACTTCTGAAGAAAATCAGAAAGTTTCGTGTCCAAATGTCCACAGACAGACGTGGAAACATGGAAGTGCTGTTTCTGCTCTGGGGATGGATGCAAAATGGCATTTTTTTTTTCTCTCATGAACAAACAAGCAGCCACACACCTCCAGCCTGCTCACTGTGTCTTCGTTTCCAACCACTTCGCATAGTTTCAGAGGTCTGTATTTTTCCACCCTGCAGAAATAAAACCCAAACACTGAGGCACGTCTAACGGAACTTTAACAGTGCCCTACGCTGCTGGGAGATTAAGATTACATGAGGCATTAAGACAACATAGGACAAAGATAACACGAGGTGTCTTTGACGCAAACGCTGCGGGGATGCCAAGAGCAGCAATTCGCAGCACTAATTGTCTGAAAGTTACTTTATTTTCGCCACTTTAAAGGAAAAGGTGGAACCCCGCGCGCAGCCCTCAGAGCGCGCAGCCGCCTTCCCGCCAACTGCTCGCCCCGCCCCCTCACTCACGCCATAGGCCGCGCTACGCCCCGCCCCCCGCTTTCTCCATAGGCTACACCACGCCGAGCCCCGCCCCCCGCCGCGCTCCGCACCAATGGCCGCGCCGCTCGGCCTTTCTTCCCGCCCCCCAGCTCCATTTCCCTCAGCACCGCGCGGCCGCCTGCGCTCTCCCCTGAGGAAGCGCTCCGGCTCTCATCTCTCACCAGGGCAGCTCGTAATGGCCGCCGGCAGCAGGGGCGGACCCAAGCGTGTCGGCTGGGCCCCGCTTCTCAGCAGCCGCGGGCCCGGCCTTCTCGTCCTCCATGACCTCCGCCACTTCTTCCTCCTCCATCGCGGCGGCTGCGCGCCCGGCTCCGTTTTCCCGCCGCCTCCGCGAGGGGCGGCCGCGCTGTGGGCCCGCCTCGTGGGGCGGGGGGGGGGGCAGGCCGTGGGGCGGGGCTCTGCGGGGAGCGGTGGGTTTGAGAGGGGGTTTGTGAGGGGTCGGCAGGCTTTGCACGGCTGCCTGAGATAAGTGCGGGTTAACCTCCTCTTCCTTAAAGTAGGAAATTCAATCGAGACGTAATCGTGTGACATACAAGGGCAGGGCAGTTGGTTTTATTTCCACAGCGTTCAGGGCGTTTGTAAGGCAAATACCACATGAATACGTTGTCGTCTTAACGTTCAGGCTGACTGCGTTGCTCTTTTCCTTCGGATTTAGCTTGCTGCAGTGTTCAGCAGGAGCCAATGTGAGGCAGTAAAATATTGCAGCTGCGTACAGCACTGCCGGTCATAAAAGCCTGTCACTACAGCACACGAGTCATGCTTTGATTTCTTGCCAAATTAAACAGTTGTTATGCTCTTAGGAAGTACCAGCCTCTGGATAAGATATAATTTTCCTGGCCAGGGTTAATTCTCCCACTGTACATGCAGGATTATTGCTGATAGGGGCTGGTTGAAAGACTATTTGTGAGAATTGATGCAGAGTGCCTGATGACAGATTTTTGTGATGTGTTTCTGCTAACCAATTGCAATATGTGTTTGTTTGCAGATTAGCCTTCCAAAGCACTGCACCCTCTGTGTAGGCAGTGACTCCTCGTGTATCTGCAGTGGTTCTGTAGCTTATAGCTCAGGTATTTATTGAGGGTACAGTGATATTAGTAGGGTATGTGAATAGCCATACCTCTGCTTTGACAACCTCCTGTCCCAGATTGTGAACTGTTGGGATTGTCAAACTGAGATCACAGGATACATCCAGCATAAATTGAGTTGCAATTTCAGTGCTGAAATAGCAGAACTCTTTTGATGTATAATCAACACTGCTTGAAGGGAGAATGACCCTGAATTTCAGTAAATTCCTGCTGATGTCCTTTCACACCCCCAAAAGATATGCAGAAAAAGCTTACTAAGCATCTGTAACCGATATACAGTACAGATAACAGCACTTTGCTGATAATCTAGTTAGCAAGATGAGTGCTATTCTTGGATGTATTCGAACAGCATCTGCTACTAGTAATGAAGATCCTACGAGAGAAATAAAACAGTGATCCTGTGTTTATCCCAAGAGCAAGGATGTCTCATCTGCAGGTGTTAGCTGTAGAGAACAAGGCCTTTAAAGACCATGTGGAAGTTCTTCTCATCTCATCTACTCTCAGAAACTCATACTCTAACCCCTATAGGGAAACTAAATCTCAGTGCAGGAGGTTTTGTCAGGGAGTTGGTTAAAATGCAGAAGTTGTGGCAAAAGAATTGCTGTTTTGCATGCTACAGCTGGTGGCAAGCAAAGTAGTTTTGTTTTGAGTCTGAGCAAGAAGTTTAAGCCAGTGAAGGCACTCAAGGTGAAACAGTAGTTGAAAACAGTGAAGAGCTATAGTGATGAAATGATGAAGGGGATGTGAGGTGTCAAACCTGTGAGGTAAGAGAAATAATTAAACCTCAGGCAATAATTATCAAAAAGTACATGTGTACTGCATATTTGTTACAGATAAGTCACAAAAAGTTGCATGTAATGCTTTGAGGAGGGTGGTGAGAAATGTAGAACATTCAGGTGATTTTGCTGTGGGTGAAAAAAAAAGAAAACCAACCAAACAACAAACCGTAAGCTCAGTTTACCATTATTTTGTTATTCAGCAGATCTGAAACACTGGGGGCTGAGACCTTAAATTACAGTATTAAGAGAAATGCAAAGTTCCTTTGGCTGTTCCCCATCCACACCAGCCCTGCAGTCCCAGTTTAAGCTGTCACCTCCTATTGCAGCGTGCTGTTGTTCAGCAGCCACAAGTAGGTCACGTAGCACAGATGGTCTTGCTGCCAGCAAAATGTGGAGTCTGCAGTCCCCTTTGAGGCTATTCCCTGTGCTCTCTCTCCTTTTCATAGTGTTAGTATGGAGAGAATGGAATGAATTCTGATGCTACCAACCGTTTTATCATCTGCTCACTGAAAATGAAAGCATAAAGCAAAGGTCTACAAATACCAAGAGTGAAAAAAGTGAAGGGATGGTTGGAAAGAGGGCTGGATTGGTGCTTTATGAAATATGGCACTGCTATGTTAGAGTGTTTCCTGGGCTTAGTTTATCTTCATCCAGACTGATGGAAGCCTGGATTCATGCGGAGCTGCTGTGCTTGACCTCTAAAGGGGCAAAAAAAAGTAAGCCAGAAAAGGGGAAGATGCTGCCAGGATATGTGGGATATTCATTTTATCTTTCTTGCAGCATCATAGCATCCTTCTATTTGTGCACTTTTCTGTAGAACATAACTGGGAGGGGACATGTACCATTTAAAATTTGTTTCTAAACACTATGGCTGAGTTCCCTGCCAGAACACCAGAATCTCTGAGTTTATTTCCCTATCCTCTGCCTTGTCCTTCCTCTCTCGTTAGCATCTCCACTAGCTGCAGAGCAACAGCAGCTCACCCGTGCAGCCTGGGTGAACACGGTGTGACAGCTGCCTGCTCTGTTACCTGGGTGCTTTTATTTACTAAATCTAATTGCTCTTTATATTTTTGTGAAGTACCTTCTCCTATTGGTTTTTTTTTTTTAATGTTGTCACATGCAATTATAAGCAGCATGCTGTCTCAGTCTGAGTTTAAGCAATTCGTGCTGCTGGAAGTGAGGGAAGTCACAAACTGCAAAGAAAAGGTAGCTGGAAAGACTGAAGGTTGTTGCTATCAGAATACTCTCATGTTGTTAAAAATAAACACATATGAAGCTATTTCATATAAGCATTGAAAAACACTTAGGATTAGACTGAAGTCATCACCATTTTCATCCAGATAAGCTTTGTTATGATTTCTGTGTGGGTGCTGAGGAATGTATTGTAATTTGCCCAGTGCTTTACACTAGGCTAAAAGAGCAAGATTCAGGAGTAGTAACCTACGTTTCTGGTCTTTGGAAGCTTCAAGCTGAAAATGTCATTTAAGTTCCAATTATTTTTGTTAGTTTGAAGCGCCTGGGAGACGACTACGAGGGTACAAAACCAGACGTGTAGTTTCGGCTTCAGTCGGCAGAGGGAGTACAGACACCTGTGTGCAGTGCCATGCAGGGCCACGCGTGACAGCTGAGAGATCAGGCTCTGCCCTGATCTCTCTTTTGTCTGCAAGAAAGGTAACTCTCTTAAGTGAACGTTTTCCTGGAGGCTAAAAGGCAGTGGTGGGCTGCTGACGCTGTGATCTGTGAGCAGTCTGCTTAAAGGTGAAGTCATGAGCTGCTGCAAAAGCAGAAGAGGGAGGCAGTGCCTCTTAAAGCTTTGATGAGTAGTAACGTTGGATAGTTAGAATAGAAACAGGCAGTCTGTGTTCACCCACTCTTTTGACAGTGAGCCACTTGGTCTGTGTTTTCAACATAACAGTCAATCTCGTGGCATTGTTTGTCCCATGATAAAGGCAATGCCTGCTACTATTTGATTAATGTTTGTCAGGAACTTTGAAAGAACTTTGCAATGGAGTTAATGCAAAGTGGAGTGGTTTTAAATTTAAGTTACAATACTGCTTGACTTCTGCTTAGATATGGTGCAGGCGTGATGCAGCATGGTTATCCTGTTCTGCATCCCAGTATCTGTATTTCTTTTGTGTTGGTTCCTTGTATCAACAATCTGGCAATATTCTCCACTGACTGCCCCTAACTGATGCTGCATGACATTAGGCAACCCTGTTCAGCTGTGTTTCATCTATTAAATGCTGAGCAAAACTTGATCAGAGCCTTTTTTTGGCCAGATGGAACAAATGAATCTTCAATAAAAGTTGTTTGCATTCAGTTTCTTTATGTCAACGATGAAAACACAATACTGTCATTGTTTCTTAGGAGCCCTAAAATGATTAGGCAGTAGAACTCAAGATTCCTTCAAGCTTGCACAGCATGGATTGCAGAGAAGGAAGAGCTGCAGTATTCAAAACAGGAAGTTCTTAGAGCAGAAAGGAGGAATTTACCAAAAGGTAAAGGTGAGGGTGGAGCTTGGCTTAATCATAAAATAAGGACAGAGGAAGTAAGAAAAATCTGACAAATAAAATCCCAGTTGTTACCTTCCAATCTCTGTGCATGCAATTGAACTTTATTCTAAATGTTTGGAGTATTTTTGCACAGACATGTAAAGAAAAAATAGGACTCGTGCTCTTTAGACTTGTTTTAGTGGCTGTATATCTCAAAGACTGTATTAAAGCCACAGGATAATACAGAAACATGCTCTCAGACTTTGACTGTTTCAAAAGTTGAGTTGGCAGCAGTGTGGTGCCAGCACAGCCCTTGTGCTCCACATTGCACCTTTCCAATTGAGAAGTGACTGGATGTTCCTGTGGAGGTAAATCCTTGGTTATTAATCCCACAAGCCAGGCTTCATTCTTCTTGGATTAACTCTGTGGATTAAAGCTGCCTATCTAAATTTCCCATGCCTTAATTAGGTCCAACATAACCTCCAATTCAGGGCATTTGTTATTCACTGTTGCTAGTGCAACAGCACTGAGCTAAAGTTAAGACAGGACAAGTCTGAGAAACAGGGCTGAGGTGGGGAGAATTTCTTCTTTCCTGCATTAGTCATCTGGGATTTGCCCCTTCCAAGTGAACAAACAATATCACAGAGTGAAATGTCTTCTGGTGCACTTTCCCCCAAAATACTTGATTTCTCTGCACTCACATTGCTCTTTTTCCATTGATTTTTACCTGCACTTGCTCAAAGCAGCTTCAACAGTAGCAGAAATACCTAGCAGTCTGCTTTGTTTGGTAGAGCATCTAAGAGTACCTCCGTTGCAGAGGAACTGTGCATCATCAGCTTCCACAGATGTCTGTGTAACTTCACTGCTGTAAGTAACAGGGTAAAACATTTCTGATGTCAAAATTGGCATGGAGGATCTCATGTGCCAGTCTGAAACCACGTTATACATATGAGTTGCTTATTAGATTTTTGTTTGCTTAATTGACAATAATTCAGTATATATGCAGATACCTAAATAAATGTTTATTATAACTACAGGTTCCACGGTATATTTTCTAAAATGCTTTTGGGATCCCTGTGGATGAATGTAAGACCTTTCTAACCATCACCAGCCATCAGAGGCCAGCCAGGTGCTACAAGATGGTCCACTTAGCATAAATATTTGTGCTCTGGGAATTTTGCTCAATGTTTACTTAAACATTCTGTTTAAAATAAAATAAAAACACCCAGAAGGAAGAGTTTCTGTAATCTGTTTTAGGTATCTCAGTTCTGTTGAATGAGGGTTCAGAGTTCATGCATTGGTACCAGAGAAGCTGATGGTGACTGTAGAGCAGGGAAGTGCCCCAGCTCTGAGAGCTGATCCCTGAGAACAGGGTTGGCTTTGCCTCCCTGACCTTGTCTCCAATGGGCTCTGAGCACATGCAGGCTCAAGGTGGGTGCACTGAAGTGAGACTTTCAAAATAAGGAAGGTGAGCTAACTGAAAAGAAATGAGTGTAATTGTAGTGTTATTGTGAGGAGGAAAGTCCCATTCATTCCAACAAAACCAGGATTTAATTTGGGGTTGTCCTTAGAGGTTTGTTTGTTTGTTTTGAATTTATTTCCACAGTAATCTTACCTGGTGGCGTACCATATCTCTATTTCCCCATCTCTCATCCCATAAAGAGCACCTTAAATACTGATTTATTTTTTAATCTAACTCCCCTACATGCTGGTATTAATCCATATGCTTTACAGCCACCCAGGAAAGCTTTTCATACAAAATGTTGGCATTATTAAATGAATGTTGGCTGTCCCTCCCAGGGTGCATTCCTCTGCCACTTCTGATTTTTTTTTTGGTTTTGTTTTTTCCTTTCCTTCATTCTGACTGAACCACTATGGCTTGTTTCTCATTTGCTCAGCCCTGTAGGGGAGATATTGAGGGCTAATGTTTGTTAGATGGTAATTAAGACAATGAAAAATGGATGTTAATGTAAAATGCCACGTTCCTTTATAATTGTCTAGAGATAAACCTTTTCTTGCAGCTGTTCTTTTTAAGAAAGTCTGTCAGACAGTAATAGACTGCTTCCTTCTTTCCATGCAGATTTCAGAGATCTGCAAGAAGTCCAGGCTTCTCAGAAAGAGCTTCAGTGTCCTGTGCAAAACAATTAGTTCAGAAACAGTCATCCCTGATGGTAAGGCTTATGAAATTAGGAACAGCCGGTGCTGTGTCAGTGTTAGGATTGAACTGTGAGGGGGGAATGATGGCTATGCTTCTACAATTAGAGTTCACATGACACCATCTCCAATTAGTGGTAGGCAGGTGACATCAGATTTGTGTTTTTCTTCTCAGGAAAATGAAGGATTGTAGGAGATTGTTTACTGATACAAAATCTTGGCTGGGGGCACCCACTTTGTTCCTGCTGCACTGGGTCACCACAGCAACCTTCAAGGTGCAGCTCGCTCTTTGTGGTCCTCCTTCCTTCCATCACAGGAGTGCCATCAGGAAGGGAGGCTTCAGGCTTCCCTCCTCCACCCCTGCTTCTCATTCACGAAGCCTTGGAGACTTGCCAGATTGCAAGCAAGTGCCCCTGAGAAGTATTTACTTCCTGTTGGCGTTTTTGTTTTTTTTTTTCTTCCTTAGGCCCCCAGAGGCCTCATTTTTCATGAATAAAATATGAGCCATACTCCTGGAGTCATGAAGGGAGGAAAGCACTGGCAGCTGGGGTGGCCGCTGCTTTTATTGCTGTGGTTGCTGATCCCTCCTTCCTCCAGTACAGGGAGGGGAGGGGAAACAGCCCCAGGCTTTAGCCTAGTTACTGCACCCAGTATGAACATGTAGCCCGTAGCTCACATGGAGGCACAGCTCACTGCATGCTGCCTTGTTTCAAACAGTCCATAACAGTCTAATTTAAGTACCTCAGACTAATTTAAATACTTGAGGTATTTAATTTTGAGCAAAAAATGAATTGTCATCATTTCAGTTCAGAGCGTATCACTGGCTGATGTTCAGTTTTGATTGTGATAACCAGTTGATATTTGCCCGGTGTTCCCCTTTTTCTCTTTTTTACACTTGTCCAGATGAATGTAGAGTTCTGCATCCACTTCTCCATACTGAATCCCTTCTCATTTGTTTGCTTGTTTTCAGCTGCTTCTACAGTTTATCAAAAACATTTTGCTTTTGCTTTGCTTTTCTACTTTTCTTGCAGGTCCTTTCAACTTTGTATGTTGTTGAGATTAAGCAGATATTTTATGAAAATATTAACTGTACACGAAAGCATTTGGCCTCTTGGTGACCATTCCTGTGCTCCTTGTTTGGGTGACAGCCTTATAGATGAAGAGGTGGGATACTGAATATAATCTTTCCCGTATGACTTAGTAACAATGCATAGTGTTACATTCAGTGCCTGCTTACTGAGCTTTGGCAACTGTCTCTTCCCTACACATCGTTTGTCCCAGATATTTCCAGGCTGCTGAGCATTTCATGTAAGTACTGCTTTCAACTATGAAGCTGCCACCAAAGCTGAGAACAGAGGCTGATTCCTACACTGTTACTGCTTCCGTTCTCTTAAATTAGTTTCTGAATTCAGTACTCGGATCAGCTGAGAACAGGGCAGATTCCTAGATATATTTTTAAGTGATAGTTTCCAAGCTTGCTCTCAGATTTAGCTTTAAACTTGGCTTACTGTTAATATTTTGATAGGATCTTTAACTGAGTAGCTGAAAACTTCATTTATCCAAGCAACACGCTTGCTGGAATCCCAAAACAACCTGATATTGCCAACATATAGATGGCAAAACTGAAACAGGAAAGTGCGATGTTTTCTCCAAGAGGAGAGAGTTTTGACCTACAGTGTGGCCTTTGTCTGTTATACCTACTGAATTCTTCCTTATATGACTCACACAACTATACTTGTGCAGGTTTTATGTGTGTTAATAAACACAGCTACATGCAAGCATTACATGTTTGTACATGCAGGACTTATCTATGGTGCTTTGTATGTTTGTTTCTATAAAGCCAAACAGATGATCAGTTCAGATGTAAACTGCTGTTTACTGCAGCACTATAGGGGGATTTTATAGGGTGAGCTGCTTCCCGAGCATATAGTGCTATATAAATTGTGTGCAGTGAGTCCACTGTGACTATACTGCATTTCAGAAGCTCTCTTTGTCAGATCAGTGAGTTCCCAGTTAACAACCACCTGAACTGCATGCTGCCACCGGCTGATAAAGGTGTTGAAAGGGCAGAAATTCTTACATGCTGCCTTTAGACTGGCTGGGTTTGGCTTTCTCTGCCTTTCAGAGGTTCCTCTGCTGTGGATGGGTGATACAGTCATACAAATGCCACCAACACTGAGTTACTTCAGAGCCAGAGACAGAGGGACAGAGCTGTTCTGTTAATCTTTGTTGTGAAATTCAGATAGTGGCTGCATAAAGTGGTGTGTTTGCACAGCTATCAGTTAGCCTTTTATTGGGATGAACTGTCAGTGCATGTGGAGGTTTAACACAGTGCAATTAGAAAGCAGCAAAATGCCCTCGGTGAACATCTCTTGTTGTTTCATTATAACACACAGAGCTGTGCTTAGTAAAGCTCATTTCAGGGTGGAAATATTGTTACTTATTGAAAATAACCTGCTGGTAAAGGTGCTGCAGAGAGTCATTTGCTGGATGCACGTGAGGCAGCATGGTAGATTGTATTATGGTTTATTAGAACTGGAACTAACAGAGTGATTCAAAGGACATCTCAAGTCAGAAGTAATTTTTCTTTGTCCCATGTCTCAGTCAGTGTAACTCTGAGCAAGGCACTTGACTTCCTTATGGTTCAGCCCGCATAGCTGGAAAATCTGTGTTAAAGGCAGGAATATAACTAGAAAATCAAATTCTGTAGGAAAGTTGAGCTTGCTTGAGAAAATAAGGGGTTTACAAGCTCAAATCTTAGTGCTGTCTCTACTGGCATTCTGTTGCATCTGTGTTCTGCTGCTTTAAAACAAGGTAATGCATTGGATAAGGGCTGATCCTGGAAGGTGCTGTGCACCTGCAAGCCATGGTCTAACTATGCACACTTGGTGATCTAATTAATTTCACAGCAATTGCTCCCACAGATGAATTTAAACCTGCAGTTATGACTTCTGCTAAATTGAGGCTTCCATTCCCTGTTGAAACTGGCAAACTGGGAGGCTGATGCTTCCCAGGCTTCTGTGTTTGGGTGCAACTTCACTGCAATTGATGATAAAAGCATCTTTTGTGTTGGTATAATCATAGTCTGCTGTAGGCCAGGAGGTGGTAGAGGTGGAAAATGTGTGCAACTAATCTTCTGCTGCAGAGATCAGAGACAGGCTTCTTGTGCAGCTGGGTGACAGCACATCCTAGCTAAGCCCATGGCTTTGTCAGACTGCAGCCACAGCTGCAAACGAATGCCAAAATTGGTCCTGTTCTGTGTGGAGGGTGACACTTGCCTCCTTAAAGCCCACGTTGCTGTGGGAGAAGTGTTTTACTCTCCTGTGTTAGATTTACAGGTATTTTTGTGCATTCCATACCTCTCAAAGCAATACAGCTGTGGCAGCAATGATGGAATGAATCCAGCAAGATTATAATTTCTTTTCAACTCGTGCTCAAGCTGATCTGGGTATGTATTTCTAGATACACCAGACACACAGACTTGATCTTTAAACACACTGATATGTTATTTTTTGGGTGGGAGGGAATAAAGAGAGTGAAACTGCCCTGCAAGTTTGAAGTGCTATCTGTTTACAGGTGTTAACATCTAATGTCCTTTTCTATTGGAGCAATTGCAGGATGTAGCCCTGCATTACAGCTCTCAGATCAGTCATGCCAGCCCTGTGAAACGTCATCTGCACGAGCAGAGCACTGTAAGTGCAGAAATGGTCAGACTTAACTCCCTGACTGTTAGGACCTGAAGGTCATAGCAGTATGTCTTCTCAAGGCAATTTGCTCTCAAATTGCAATATGGCCATGGCTTTGTATTATGGTGCTACAGAGTATAATAATATCTTAAAATAAGCCAAGTTGTGAAGAAAACAATTGGATGTAGTCATTTGTTACATATTTCAGATTTTGGTCAATGTTTATGGTCTGCTTAAATATCATAGGTACAAATGGGAGTGGGTGAATTTCTCTGTCACACTTGCCTATGTACAACAAGGAAACGAATTCCCAGCCTGTTAGGAGGACATCTGTTTCCATGACATTTTAAGCTCAGTTCACAAATATCTTTTCTGTTTTTTCCTTTAGCTATGTATACCATTTGCACGCTGGATAGGTGTGAGATGATTAAATTCATATTTTGAAAGAATTCTTCACCAAAAGATGCCCTGGTAAACTTTTTGTTTCTAATTTCCTTTCCTCAGCATATATCTCAGTAATCAGTTATTTCTGCTCTTTTGCTACAAGCATTCTCAGATGTATTGTGGAGAATATAAAAGAAAAGATACCTCAAGAGTGCCTAGTGGAAGAGACCAGAAGGCTCTTCAAGCAAATATCCCTTCAGAGCATCCCCATATGTTATCATGGGCTCAGTGGAAAGAGAAGCAGCCCTGAAGTGCCATATCAAACAGCTATTGAGTTTGTTCAGATAAGTTTCTTTTCAGTTGAGAGCTGTCTCATGCTATTTGTTTTTCCTAAATAGAATTAACATAGCTACAGCTGCAATATGATTACCTTAACGACCTCTAATGTATTCTGGCTCTGTCTTCCACAGGTTAACTTACTTGAATTGTATTTTTCCACTTGTTAGCTTTATATTTGCTCCTCAGATTTCTCCTGCTTCTAAAGATGATAACACAGTTTGCCTCTTTTCCTTCATTCTTTTGAGCCTTCACAACTAACAAGCTGGCATTTCCCACTGGCCTGTTCTGAAGTGCACACTGTGCATTTGCATTGTCTGAAGTTATGAGTGCAATGCATGCTGGCATGAGCAAGCCCTGACATTTGCAGGGAAGGAAAAAAAGAAAAACAGGCTGGACATTACTCAGTCTGTTTGTGCATGCAGTGGGTCACCCTCTTCTGAACAGTGGTGCTTAATGCATTTACTCTGTTACCATCTTTGAAGGGATAGAAAATGTGCTGCTTGTGCCAAGTGCAGTGTAACACAGTTCTGTTCAGGAATATCAGGTATAATTACTGTCTCTCCTGTTTCTAAACATCATTCTCATGTGTCTGTGCCTTCTGTTGTGAAATGGAGCACGTGTGTGCTTTATGGGAGCTGTGAGGACTGACAGGTCAGTGGTTGTAGTGCACCCAGCAGGCCAGGGCTCAGTCATCAGTTCTGATGTGACTGAAAAGGACTGAGCAGCTGCAGCTTTAATTGAGCTCACCTGTGAGGATTTAGGATGGAGACAAATACTAGAGCAGGCACCAGGAGCTGTTTTAATGTGTGGCAACCACGTTTAGTCTGGTCAGCTCAAAGCACTTTACAGATTAGTTCAGCAGAATTGTTCCTCTTTCACTGTTAGTGAGGACAGCTGAGATGAAGGGAGTTTCCATTTAATGGTGGCAATAAAACTAGAAAATAGATTGGAGTGCAATTTTTATGTATCACAGTACTGTGTTCTGTAGAAAGCCATACTGGCAGATTTGTTCCTCATTGAAATATATAATACAACTGATGCAGTGCAATTAATAAGACTAAACTGGCAGGAAACTAAAGAGTCACGCTAAGTTCCTGGATTTGGGTTATATCATGGCATCTGGCTGATGAAATCCACATTAGAAGGGCTTTTCTGTAATAAATATTCTAAAATCAAAGCCAACACCTGACAAATGAGCAGGATTCTTCAACTCTTCTACACCCATTTTAGTAAGGCTGGATTTTTTTGGGAGGCACGATTGTCCTTTCCTCCTAGCAATTGCTACAGCAATTTTCAGCCACAGAAATGAGGTCATCTGGGGCACCTTGCTGCCTTATTTCTGCACAAAGAAACAGTCTCCTCTTTATAAAGACCTCGTGGTGATTCTTTAAACCTTTTAATGCCTTCCTAAGAAATGACGGCTGGGATCAGTGGATGGTTGGATAGGTTGATGGTGAAAACATAATATGGTGGGAAAAACAAAATCCTAACATATGGTAGATAGTTTGTTGTACCAGAATAGCACATTTCTGTAGCAAAGGGATGTTTCTGTGGAAAGAACAAAATTCAGTTTAACTACCACAGAGCTGTCCCAGAGACAGGCTAGCAGCTCTGCACCAGCTCTGAAATGGGATGTGCTGTGGGTTTTGAGCTTTGTATTGATGCTATTCTCTTTGCTGTGCTATTTATGTCAGGTCAGTCAGGACCTTCAGTCGAAAACTTTCCTTAATCAGAAACAGACATTTGGGGGAAGCAGAGGGCAACTAGTTGTACTGTGATCAGTGTGCATGCTCAGGCCAGCTGGTCAAACCACCTGAGTGCATTCCCAAGGAAGATGTTTTTTTTTTAAAGTATGGCTTTTCTCCAAGCATCAAAATTTGGAGCACTGTTCCCTCTCCTTCCTCATTAAACACAGCTTCATTTGTAGATACCAAAATCTCCTTAAGTTCTAGCCACAGACAGGGAGCTTTTTCAGCCTGGCTCCCTTCCCTTGACTTTGATCTTCTAACACACTGTAGTTTATGCAGAGGAAATGGGACTTTCTTGCTTCTTGCAGGTCCTGCACAGTCTGTAGCTCTGGTAGTAGAAAACATCTGCTGCTTTTATTTGATCTGCAGTATTACTTGTCAGGCCCAAACAACGGGGAAATAATCTCCTTTTTTCATGCTCTATAGTCTGGTTCTAATTTGTCACAGACCCTTTTCAACCAGGTCAGAGAAAATGATGAATCTTTTCACCCCTGGCAGCAGAGAGAGAAGCCTGGTGGCACGTCCTTGGAGCAGAAACTGAAGAAAGGAATAATTTTTTGACATAAAAGGAAAAAACAATTGCTGGGCCAGAAGCAATTTTGCTTTGCAAAACATAAAATGGTTTGGATGGTTTGCAAACTAATGGTGTCGTTGCATACAAACATCATGGTTTGGCAACTGGAAAAAGGTAGAGTTGCCACATTATGACTGTTTTTGCCTCCTTTTATTTTCCTGGGGATGCCCTGAGCTACACAGAGCTATACAGACAATTTTTACTTTGCAAAGTAGCTTCATGAAGTGGTTTGAATATAGGACGTTGTGCTGGGAGATCTGATAGGCTTAATTCTGACTTGAGTGTGTATAAGAAAGAAATATATAAACAGAGTAGAAGTACAACATCGTAATAACCACAGTCTGGCAGCCTTAGTACTGTACCCAGCTGTGCTACTGGGTTAGAGCAAGTCTTGGGAAGGTGAGCTAAGCTCTCCCAGTGTTGGTTTCCATGCCTACAAAATGCTGGTGATGTTTGCTCCCCTTTGAGGTCAGTAGGCATGGAAGTCTTTTTATCAGAGCAAACCTTGCAGTGCAGCTCCCAGTTCTCCTGTCACGTAAAAAAGCAGCTGAGCAAAGGACAGCCCAACCTTCAGTCCTGACTGAGACAAACAGCAACCTTTAGGGCAGTAACAAAGAAAGAAAATGAATATAAATATGCAATGCTGTGCTGGAGCTGAAGGTTTGCTTAGAGTAACTCATCCACTACTTAAACTTGGATTGTTCCCCTGGCCCCTCTTTACCAGAAAGAAGATGTTGTAGTTAAGTAGTACCAAATATCCCTTCAGCCTCATGTGCTGTCTTTTTCTATTTGTGTGTTGTGTTCCTCTATGTCTTGTGTTCCTTTCTTTTGGTCATCCTTGCTTGTAAACGTTTGATGCTGAGGTGTAGATGTTGACCAACATCTGTCAGTTTCTACTGGATGACCATGGATACGGAGTTTTTTCTCTACAGGACTCAATCCCCTACTTGCAAAGAGGAGGGGCTGATAGTCCCCATCATTGTAAGCTGAGATCTTCAAACAAAGGCTTAACAATAACCTGCTGACTAAAAAGAGGAGGTATCCAGAGCTCCACTGCCAGCATGGTCTTGAGTGCATCACTTGGACATTCTGTCAGTGGACAGAACTTCAAGCCTCCACATAATGGATGCTGAATTTCTCTGTAATCTACTGGCTGTTGGGCTCCTGAATACAGTTTTTGTAATAAAAATGACTTCTTCAACAATAAAGTGTGGTCCATTTTATTGCGCTGCATTTGTGTGGTGTGTTGTCCCAGTTTCCTCAGCAAGGAGGATTACTTTAAAAAGGAAGAATGAGAGGAACCAGATTGTGCTAAGGACTACATTACACCAATGGTTGGAGTTTAAGTAATAGTTAATGTACTATTTTCAGAAGAGGAAATATACTAAAAAAAAAAAAACAAAAACACCTGTAAAAGCTCTTCTTGATTTTCATAATTAATGAGAACTGCTGTGATCCTTCAGTATATTTTCACCTGCGCTTTCTTTTACAGTAAGAAGTGTGTAGGAATGCACAGCAGTCAAGCTGGTAGAAAGACTTCTTTCAGAGCACTTCAGTTGTGCTGTACAAGGCACGCTCACCCCCTGGAGGATCCTGGAGCTGTTTTGATGAAATCTTGTTTCTCCCAGTGAACCAAAGCAAGGTCAGGCCTTCAGACAGGATCATATCTAACATCAGCATCACCCAAATAAGCACCATCAGTTGTGCTGAGTGTTACTGGAAGGAGGGTGAGTGGGGTTTGTATCACTTAAACTTCTCATTTGAGCTAATTCTTGAGTACCAGTCTATTTGCTGGATGGAAACTGGTGTTAGAGAGCAGAGAATCAGAGTTGTTACAGGGGAACATAACATTTAGGTGAGCGACAGAGCAATTGTCTCATCAGCTCTTGAGAGATGCTCCATCCCTCTGTGCTGGGAAATAAAATGAAAAGATGCTGCAATGCTTAGGCCATCTCCTACCTGCTTATTCATGATGGCAGAACACGCAGTATTTTTGTTTCTTTTATTCCCCTAGGTACGTGTGCTCAGACCTGCAGGAGTCCAGAGGACTCGGAGGGACCTCCTCTCCCAGCTCCCTTCTGCTGACACGCCGTCTCCATAGGCAACTACAGAGAAGAGACCAAACATCCTGCATCCACACCCGCAAACACCGACTTGGGTTTGGATGCAGGGAAGATATCAGGAAGCTCAGTGAGCTGGCAGTTGAAGCAGAGGCGTTGGTGTCGGGTGCTTCAGGTTCTATTTTTGACTTGGACCAACCATTTCTTTTCGATTCAGCTTTCCATCTGTGAGATGGAAAATAAGGCTGCTTGCGGGTGGATCGTTCTGCTGAGGGCAGGGCTGTCAGCGGGTGATGCTTTGTTGAATTCTGCTTTGTTCTGCTCTGCTTTGCTGCCTGCATCCCTGCTGTGCATTCCTGGGCAGAGAATGGTGAAGGGTCACAGCATCCAATGACAGAATTGATGTCAGGTGGGACTCTGCTCTGTTACGGCACGGCCTGGTGCCTTCTGCTGCAGCATCTGATGTGCAGTTTCAACTGCTGCCCTTTGGATGAGCCAGGGTGTCTGCAGGGCCAGAGATGTACACTGAATGGAGCTGCAGCCCTTGTGTAAAGCACTTTCATTACTGTCCAAGGCATGGATTTGAGTTTGGAGACAGGCACATGTGGTGGAGTCACCAGACCTGGAGGTGTTCAAGAACAGTGGAGGTGTGATACTGATGTCTAGTGGGGATGGTGGGGCTGAGCTGATGGTTGGATGAGGTGATCTTAGTGGTTCTTTCCAGCCCTGATAATCCTGTAACTCCATGGCCCAGCACCGTGTGCTTCCATCTGATGTCCCCAGCTCTGGGATTAGCAGCAGACAGGTGGTGAAGGCCAAGTGAAAGCCATCAGCTCAGCCCTTCCTGCCTGCCTCTGGGTGAAGGAGCTCCCACAGGTGCCTTCATTTCACTGCATTCTCCAGACCCCAGCAATTAGAGGCTTCCTCCTTTTTCTCCAGGAAGTACCTCCAACTCCTCTTGTTCCTCTTGCACCAGTCACAGCTGCCAAAACACGACTTAAGGGAGCCTCTCCGTTCCAGAGCCCCAACCCAGAGCCGCATCTGCGCCGAGCAGAAGGTGAGACCCACGTTCGGCGTTTTTCTCCCTGCTCTTTAAGGAAGGGCGCTCCGGCTCCCAGGCAGCCGCTCCCCTCGCTCCCCAGGCCCGCCGCTAGGCGGAGCGTTCCCTCCCCCCTTCCACCCTCCCGCTCCGCTTCCGCCGCGTTCGGGGCCCGACAACCAGCGGCATTTCGGTGCGGGGCGGCCCCGGAGCCGCCCCTTTGTTCGCGGGGCGGTGGGGCCGGGCTGCGCCCCTAACGCCCGGCATCCTCCTTCCTCCCCCTCCTCCTCCTCCTTCCTTCTTTTTCCTCCCCCTCCTCCAATCATCGCAGCTCCCTCCGGCGCGCAGGGAGTGGCACGGCGGCCGCCCGGCAGGGCTGCGGGCTGCGGAAGGTAAGGGGGAACGGCGGGCTGGGGATGGGGGGCAGCCCCAACAAAGGAGGGGCGGATGGATAGATGGATGGATGGATAGATGGGTGGGTGGGTGGATGGATGGATGGATGGGGCTCAGGCTCATCTCTGGGGCTGGGCGCTGTCAGCACGGATGTAGCATTGTCCTTGGGTCGGGGAGGGAAAGACACCGTCCTCGTTACGCGCTGTGTGCCAGGGGCTGCGCTGTGCGCTCCGGGTGGGGCCGTGCTGCCGTATTGCCGTGCTGAGCCCCCGCTGTGCGCCCACCTGGGAACGGCCCGGGTCGGGGCGGCGGCCCCGTGGCTCTGCTCAGCTCCGGTGCTGAGCGATGGAGATCGAGGTGGGCGTCAGCATCGAGCGCCGAGCGAGTTCGAGCTTTGCAGCCGGAGGACTGTTTTTCTTTTGTCTCCGGCTGCTGGCTGGGCTGGGTCTCCCCGCTGCTTTTTTGTTCTGATATAACCTAGCTATCGACTAGGGCTGTAGGAGTGGCTGCGGTGGGATTATTTTTGTTTGCAGCAAGGAGATGTGCTCCTGCGTGCTGCTGGGGGATGGCAGCACAGATCTCGGACGGACCGAGCGGTTCCTTCGCCTCCTGGCCCGTAGCACCGAGCTGGGGGGGGGCCGGAGCAGAGGCGTGGTGCTGTCTCGGGGTATCGGGGCGGCTGCAGCTGCAGCAGGGGAGAGCTGGGAGACAAAGCGCTGTCAGTGCTGCTCTGTGTCAGCCTCAAAGGGCTGCAAAGCCCAGCTCGGGAGCAGAGCATCCTGCTGGAGCGGATGGCAAGTTTCATCGCTGCTGGCCTGAGGGTTTCCATAGGGAGTGACTTGTGTTTTGAGAGCGGGTTGGTGCGTGGCTGTGTATGTTCAGGGTGGATATACCTGCATACATATGGCCAGGTTTGTCAGCCTTTTCCTACCCATGTTGGGCAGTGTTCTCCCATCCAGCGGTGCTTCAGGGCCTCTTCAGCCTCCCTGCCCTGCTGGGGAGGGGATGCTTTCAGCATAACGCAGCCCCTTGCCTTGAGCTTAACTTGGGTCGTTTTAAGAAATGACCTACCTGCTGCTAGAGCCTGCTGGGATGAAGGAGGAGCTGCGTGCTGGCAGAAAGGTGCCAGCAATCCCAGGGCTTCAAAGCACAGCGCTGCCTCGAAGTGCTGGCACCAAGCACTGCAGTGTGGCACAGGCTGCACTGCAACCAGTTTGTTTCAGGGGCACGTGTGTGCATGGTATGCCTTCAGTTAAGGGAAATCCTGAGTGTTCCAGAGATGCTTTTAGGGTAAGCATAGCCTGGCTTGCCTGTTGAGGCCGAGGGCTGTGTCTGCTGTTCTTCTTCGGCCTCCCGCTGCCTGTGGCCCTGGAGGTGCCATAATTTAGGCCAGCAAAGAGCATTCCTGGTGCTCTTCCTCTTTTTCAGAAGAAATGATGAAGAAGTTGGAGGGGTTTCCCAGCATGGAGGGATGCGGAAGGGTCCATACCCTGCACATCTCTGAGTGGTGATATGGGGAAGGGCAGGGTTTCACCTCCCGAGGTTGCTGGTTTGATTTTGCAAATGCTTTCTCTATCCATGAAAGTTGAGAGAGAACGAGAATATCTCATATTCTTGTCATGATCCTGAAGAGGACAAGAGGCAGTCTGTAAAGCAGGCTCCAGATGCATGCTGTGGGCACTGCTTTGTAGAGTGCATGGCAGCATCATGAGTTGCAAAGCTCAGGAAGAGCCCATATCCAGGCATTGGAAGCTGAGCATGACTTGTTGCTCACCCGCATCAGACATTGGTGTGGGCTTAGCTCAGAGATTTCTGAAAAAGCAGACCTTAGTAATGCCTTGTGACCTGTTTTCCCCTCTGTCTCCCAGGGGAGCACAAGAGCAGCTATGGAAGCTGCTGATAAAGGGCAAGCAAGTGCTTTCTGCTGCTGTGTTAGATGGTTGGCAGTGCCTGCATGTTGTGTCGCTGCTTGGTGTGACTGGGAACGTGGAGTCCAGCAAGACTGGGGCCTTGCAGTACACCTGGCCTTCTGACACCTAAATCAGAACTGCTAATAAAGAGGGCAAACTGCCAGAGGTCACCCCAGGAGCCCAGAGTGAACACTTTGTTGAGCTGTGGTGCGAAATGGGACAAATTCAATTGGCTTTATTCACGCTTGGGTTTAACTTCTCACTCTCGTATTGCTGTAGCTAGCAGTGGAAAAATGACTTCACTGCATGTGACTGAGTCTGGCACCTTCATGTAGTACTTAGTGCTATTCCTGAAAAAAAAAAAAAAGAAAAAAAACAACCAAAGAAACCTCATTCAACAAGAAAAAAAAAGAAAGCAGGATTCCTGCATCAGGCCGTGTGGAGATGATTCCCTTGACGTGGCACCGTTCTTCATTTTCTAAAGGAGTGAGATGGTGTCCATAAAATAGCTGTGGTTGCTTCAGACAGAGCGTAAGCCAAGAAGAAATAGCACTGAGCACTGTCATGTCTTGCTGTCAGCTTTGGTGTGATGGGATCAAATGTGATGCTGACTTCAATTGGGCGACTTGTTTGTTGATTTTTTGGGAGCTCGTGTTCTCAGCTCTAATGCTAACTTCCTGGGTGACTCCATCTGTGCCTGGGGCAGCCAACTGGTTATGTTTAAGAAGCATTTATACTCTGTCTATAATCAATCAGAATGACTTCCCAAGTCTTTTGTGTGTGGTTCATCCCCACTATGTGATCTTGGGAAAATCCTTTCCATCTCTCTGTCAGCTCTTCCCAGGTGGGTGATGTTGTGGCTCTTGCTGCTTTGAGGACTGAGAATGAAAACTGTGGGTGTTGCATATCCAGACCTCGGGGTTGAGGTGCTTTTAATCCTTCTCCTGTGCTCCCCCACGCAGTTTCTTTAAGGAAGATAATGCAAGTAAAAGTGTATTGCTTGTCCTTTTTGGGAATCCAATTGGATTTTACTGAACAACTGGTATAGTGCAGGGGAAGCATACATGAGTATTGGTCACACCAGAGGGAATTCACCAAAATCTGGGGTGATCTGACCCATCTGTTTGTCCCGGGTCCCTTTTTCTGGCTGATCTGTTCTTCTTCCACTGACATATTCCTCCCCTGTTATTTATTGCATCATGTTTGGGGAACGCTTGTGTCCGCCAATTAGTGCTGGAAACTTTTCAGCAGTGCTGCCAGGAGGGGAGCAGCCGTTTGTTGCAGCAAGCAGTGCTTTCCCAGCCCTGCACATCTCCCATTCACAACCTGCAGTCACATCCCTGCAGCAGAAACTGTCCTGTGTGTTGGGACAAACCCTAGGAAAGGAGGTTTCTCCTGGAAGGTACAGAGAGGCAGCTGTGCTGTGAGATGTATTTAATGGGCTTTTTAGCCTCGTGTTTGCCTGCTGTGCAGTGTTTGTGATGCTGCCTCTGGTCAGCCCCCTGCATGAAGCCCAGCCTGGTGGTGGAAGTGCTCCTAACTATATTTAGCTGATAGCTGTTTGTTTTATAACACTGAGCTCTGTGCAAACTGGAGCAGGTCAGCTTGCAACCTTGAATAAGTATTCCTATTTCTCTGGACTTCTTCTTCTAGGTTTGTCAACATGGGATGTTCTAGTTGGTGATCAATCCACCAGCCATTGCTAACAGAGGTTTAATGATGGACAACGTGGCACAAACCTGGAATTAGAGGGATTTTTGCCTTTTTTGTGCTTGGTTGAGTCGTCTGCTAAGCTGAACCTGTTTAATCACCTGCTGTCAGGACTTCCCAGAGCCCAAGTGTCTCATGTTGGAGCTTTACAGTTGTGATGCTTAGGTGTTCCCTTTGAAGCACTATGGGAGTCCCATTGGCTGAGACTGTGAAAGAAGAGATGTCTCAATCCATGAGATTAAACAGCCGTATTGTGGCAGTTTATTTGCTGTTGGGAGGAATAGTAACATCTGGTGTTAGGAGCATCTAAATCTGAAATAACCTTATGTGTTATTACTTCCAGCACACAAATGTGGAAATGTCAGCCCAAAGGATGCTGTTGGGGGGTGAGTGTATGGCTCAGGTTTATGGAATGCTATGATATATTCTGCCTTGGGGTGCCAAAAATGAAGAGAGTGCCCTTTCTAGAAGAGGTAACAACTTGGTTTTTATTCTTCCTTTTGGGGTGAAACAGGACCAGGCTGGGTTAGAGATGCTGTGCTATTACTCTGCATTATAATCTGCTCAGGCTGTTGCCTGTAGCCCCTCCATGCTTGGCTAGATATGATTATATCTTGGTCTGCTTAGGAAATCACAGCTGTGGTCCTGCCCAGCCACCCAAAGCTCTCCAGTCAAACCTCCCCAATGTAATGCAGTGGGCAGCCATCCTATGGCTGTGTGTGTGGCTCAGAGCCTGAAGGCATCAGGCTGCAATCTCAGTTTCTTTGCTCCCGATACAGTCTGAAGTCAATGATAAATTGCAAGGTGTGGTGCAGGGCAGAAGGGGATAATGTGGCAATGCTGTCTGATAAGGATCCGATTGGATCCAGCTTGCAAAAATGATTTTTGATCATCGATAAGAATGGGAAATGATAGAACCATAGAATGTCCCAAACTGGAAAGGACCCATAAGGATCATCGACTCCTGGCTCCACCCAAAGTTTGGATAAGAATTTGAGTAAGAGG